TTTCCAGTGCGTCTAATACGAAAACGAATGTGTTTTTCCTGATACTTGAACTAGGGAACATTTCCTTTCATTTTTAATGTTAAGGCCCCGTGTTCGAAGTCCTCTAAGACCAGTGAGCTCACACATGCTCGGGAGCCTCCAGAGGAACAACCAACCGCGGCCACCTTGAAGTCAGCCTAGTGAAACCCGTTTTAGACTCCTGATTTCCTGGGTATCTCAATATGTTTATCCTGGTCACCAAGTCGCGGTACTTTGTTACAGCAGGCATAGGACACGAATACAGCGATTTTATTCCGGAAACAAAATGGGGGTATGTTTGAAGTGGGGGTAGAGACAGAAGAATTTTTTACTCTTGGCCTTGGGAGCAAGCAGGGCTAGCTTTATGGGCATGCGACCTGTGCCATCACACGATGGTGCCCTGCTCGGAGGAGTCTGATGTTCGGTTTAATGCTCTATAATCGTCTCCATGAAATTCTTAATACAGCACTTTTGAGCAAGAGGTGAGCAGAGGAGATGCCCTGGAGTGACAGCCCACGTGGACGTTTGTGATCTAGCATCAGCACCCAGGGACAGTGGCTCAGGCCCCTGGGCACAGGTGCAGCATGCGGGGCAATTGGCCTGGTTTGCCTCAGGGCAGTCGGAGGAGCCACTGGGCTGAGGAGAGACCAGGGATCAGATTGGCAGTGGTGACAGTGGCAGCAGCAACAGCAGCAGAGGTGGCTGCTGTACCCCCTGGCGGGAGTCAGGGGCCCTGGGCAGCCCTGGGAACTGTGGGAGGCCAGCTCGTCTATTCATTCCCCGAGAGGGCCAGGCCCTGCAGCCTGTACACAAATATTAGCTCTGGCTCAGTGCTGGGACGGAAATTGCTGGGCTCAGGCAGTAAACTCCGTCAGTAAGTTATTACAAGATAAAAGCACACACAGGGACATTGCAATAGAGCGTATCGAAGCTATTAGAGTTATTAGAATTATTCAAAGAGTTTAGAATCTCTGGTTTTGAAAACTACTGCAACATTGTAAAACAAATATCCACGGGCTTCCACATGGAAATGAAGCTTACAGATTGTAGCATGAGCAGTAACAGAAAAGAACTCTATTTTCATATGATGCTTCAGATGAACAAATTATTGAGATACATTTAAAATTATTTTTCTTATAATTGAAAATACAGTAATAGGATACACAGTAAGTAGGTATTTTCAATTATATTGAAATCATGAACCCATTTTGGCTTCTTGAGCAAGTTAACTTCTATAAGTGACAGGATATGGCAGAGAAAACACTGAAATGCTACCGTATAATTTTTATTTGAAATTGAATTCAGACTTTTATGAAGATTTAAATCTTTTTAGAAAAATTGTTTCATGAACTCAAATGAAAAAAAAATTACTTATATTTCAAAATAACTTCTCAGAAACTTACCCCAATGTTGTCATCATTTATAAAATATTCTTCATGGCTCCAGTAACAGTTGCATCAGCAGGAAGATTCTTATCAAAATTAAAAATTACAAAAAAAATCAGTTGTGCTGCATTTGCCAAGAGTGACTGATATCACATTCAATATAAATCTATCGACAGCAGATATAATATTTTTAAAGGAAAAACCTTTACCTTTTAGTAGTGGTAGTTAACCAGGGTATTCTGAACCAGGGGCCCTACATTGTCATTTTGCAGAGGGCCCCACAAACTATGTACTCAACCCCGATGGCGAGAGTTACCCTTGAGGTTAGCCAGACACCTTTCTGAGTCTCTACTTTTTACAGTTGGAACTGACAGATGATCGAACTTTAAAAATGGAAATGTTTCTTACGAATATTTAACTGTCATCACTCAAAACAACACAATTACCGAATAAGTTTTGTTTTCCCATGAATCACAAGCATAGGTCCCAGTCGCTCAGTCTTCTGACTCTTCCCTACTTACCTGCTTTTGGAGGTGGGCAGGCTAGTTCCACAGTGTGTGGCGCACCAGGCTGCTACATCCTTACCAAGGGAAGATTTTTCAGGGTCTTCACTCAATTGGATACTTTCCCAGTGACTTACCATTTGTAACTCAGTGCCCATTTGCCTGACTCCACCCTGAGAGTCTGGCTCAGCCCAAGATAACAATGACAAGAGGCACTGGTATTCAGGTGGCCTCCAGTTTGAGGCTTGGAAGCTTTATGTCTAGACAGCTCTGCGCAAAACCTCTCTGCACATGGAGATCAGCATATCCCCAAAGGATATAACGAGTAAAACGAGAAGAATAATGAAGAAAAATGACAGGCGCATGGGAGAGGAATACACAGGGTATGCCTCTGGTAAATAACTCCCCGAAGGACTCTTAGAAAAGACTTACTGATTAATTGAATCAATCCATCATCCTTGGGATGACAGCATCAATTTGCAATCTTTTTGGGAGTTGTTTTATTCCATTGCTGTTATGGCTTAAATTCATAAGAGGGTAGAATGAGAGGTTAAAAAAAATATACCTGTTTTATTATTAAGGTGCCACAATTCTGTGCTCTCATTACAGAGAAGGCTCACATTAATTTTAATAACAATTTAGCGTGTGTCAGGGCATCCACATGTGGCTTATAAAAGGATTTCCCTCTCTGAATTTATCTTACAGAAGTCGACTTTCATTACCATCAAAATGTTAAGCTTGTTTGCTTCTTAACTCCATAATGTTTAAGGATTAAACAAAACAACTTTCTTGATAACTCTAGAGAACAGAAGAAGACATTTTAGGAGGAACTCACCTTCGTTTTCTTTGTTGGCACTGCAGTCGTATCTCGTGACACCTGTGCAGATTCCAGTGGTGAACGAGACCCTTGGATGTATTACCTAGTTCAAATTTTTGTTGAGTTAAAAGGCATAGTGTATATAAATGTCTTAGAGATTTTGCTCTCAAAAGTGATTGTTTCAAGATACTAATAAGTTTAAAATTGGACATAATATATCAATCACGGACAGTGTCCTTTCCTTTCTTGAAGGCAGGTGGAAGGTAGGTGTTGTACAATGAAGATAGGATTGAAAATGAGTCCTAAGCTAAGACCCATATATGATGAGAATAATTGAGGCTTTTTTTTTTTTTTACGATGTAAGGATCATGATATCAAAGTTTCCTGAGTATAAGTGTTGAGTGCCAAAATTTTACCAAAGACAGATAAAATGTCTGAAGGAAGATTATCTTGACAATCACAGGAAGTACTCAAGATGGGACAGTTTAAGTAACCTCAATGTCTCTAATATTAGCTATTCATAAATCTGTTGTAAAAGAAATAACAAAAATTTTAACCATGAAACTGAACATAATTAGCTGCTTAATATAAAACACACACATATAGCCCTAGCTGGTTTGGCTCAGTGGATAGAGCGTCTGCCTGCGGACTGAAAGGTCCCAGGTTTGATTCTGGTCAAGGGCATGTACCTTGGTTGCGGGCACATCCCCAGTAGGGAATGTGCAGGAGGCAGCTGATCGATGTTTCTCTCCCATTGATGTTTCTAACTCTCTATCCCTCTCCCTTCCTCTCTGTAAAAAATCAATAAAATATATTTAAAAAACCCCACACACATATATACAAGTTATATATATATATATTTAAAAGAACTATAACACAATAAAACATATTTAACATTGAGACTATGCTGAATCTAGCACACAATAATTTAGAAGTATTTGATGATTTTATACTATCTTAGGGTCTTCTTTATCAGGTTTCATTCTGACTTACACAGTCCAGGGTCAGCTGATATAGCATCTGGGATTTGTTTTATTCTATTCTGACCAGCGTATACATATTCTGGGTTTTGCTGTGGAATAGCGAGTTATTTGCGTTTTCAAGATGTATGGTAATCTTGAGTAATTTCTTAACCTCCACGGGCCTTACTTTATTATCTTTATGATAAATGGGTTGGCTCTCAAAAATGTATTTTACAATGTGACCCATTTAAAATGAATTTGTATTTCTGAGTTAAATGGTCAACTTGTTATAGTACAAATGAAGACCTTGGTAGTGTTATTTACTGAAGGCATGCACTATTTAGTGGTGTTTTTTTCTTTTCTTCTTTGAATTCAGAACATAACTGGTAAGAGTCTTGCACTATTGAATTGATAACTCTTTTCTATTAACTTTTGTCTCTTTACCTTCAACTGAGATGTCCTGTGCATTGACCTCACAGTGCTGTAGCAACCACCTGGCAGTCATCCCGTCTACTTCAATGAACCCGCATCAGCATGCTTTTCACACTGGGAGCAAAAGTCAACACAGACTTGGTCTGTACAAGGCTCTCACCATGTGGCCCAGAAGTCAGGTACTGCAAGTTGATCTTTGGCTTCTTGGAATGCTACCTCAAAGCTTTCCTTGTTTGCGATCCGTTTTGGTTCTTTGGCTTCTGGAGCTGGTTTGTGTCTGTGTACAGAGAGAGAAAAGACACACCCCAGCCTGCCGCCTTCTGTCCCTTCAGTGCATACAGTGAACCTCAGCTGACATTACGGTCGGGCAATCGCCAATGCCAGGGGTTAATCTTTTCTAACTGCTTACCCTACCCCAACATGCTTCACTCTAGTTGCCATCAAAGACCATGCCATCAAATGGTTAATAAATGAGCTTTATAAGTTATTTTAAATTTGAGCATAAAAAAGTAAAAAAAAAACTATGTTAAACAAGGGTTTTTAATATAGTGGCCTCACACTTTTGTCAGACACTAGCTTGATGCTAACTCTAAATTCCAGACAGAAGTGGGGAAACAAGCTCTCCAAATGACAGCAAGCCGATTCCAGGCGGTCTTGTGGAAAAAACCCTTAGTGATAGGAGATAATGAAAGTACGTGTTACCTCTATGACTGAGCTAAAATGGTGCCGTGACCTGGCATTTTCTCTTTCCTTTTGACACATCCCTGCACGGCATGCGGCGGGCGTCAGCACCGCCTTCATGTGAGTTCCTAGGGTTTTCCTGTCAATGACATAATCACGGGCACCGGGAGGAGCAGCACGGCTTTCAGGGATGGCTCGGAAACGTGATTGTTTTTCCATTTATTTTTAAAATGCAAATTACACTGGTAAGTCAAAAAAATCACTCTGTTAAAAATACATTCAGAATTAATAAACGCAAAAAAGGAAAGGAAGAAAAAGACACATCAGGTTTGTAACTCTTGCCTTCTGAATATTAGGTTTATAACAAAAGCTCAGCCTAGAAAAATAGCATTCTTCACCGGGTCTTGAGGAGGATACAGCTGTACAACTTGCTTTTCCAGATGTAATCACACGACTGTGCTCACTGCTCCCAGCAACGACCTGTCCACTGATTCCTTTTAGTAGTCAACAACTGGTTTTGAAAAATTTTGGTGGCGATGATAGTAGTGGTTAGGTGGCAAGTTGGCTGCAACTTAAAGGAGGAAGATGAGGGCTTCTTCTCTGTGCATTTCAGTTCTTATCCACATACATGTCCTGGAAGGAGGAATCTGATCACAGCATGAATGTACAGTGAAACCTCATTTTAATTGTCACATTAATAGTTACATTAGAGTAGTTTCTGGCATGTAGAGTATTTATATTTTAAGAATCAAAGGACAGGACATTGGTAAATGTTTTTCTCATATATGAAACATGCATGCCACTATAAAATGGTTAGGTGAGGTTTCACTGACATGTTTGTAATCCTGTCTTTTATTACATGTATGTATGGACAAACACATACAAGCCACTGAGAAAATTCAAGCACAAGTGCTGGAACCCCTTTTTGTAGTTTACGTTTCAATAGCAACCTTTGTTCCTTGATCGTTTTCAAGTGTATATGCGTGTGTATCATTGATATCCATGCAACACAGTCATGGGAATGGTTTATGTAGTTCCGGATGGGATAAGGTCCAAAGTAGGTTAACCCAATAACTGAAACTTCATAGAAACCAAGAGAAAAAGTTGCTTCATGCCAATGCATAACGTTTCAAGTCTGAATTTCGCTGCACTTAAGGATGGTATATTTGTTTAAAAAAATTTGTTTTTAATGTCTCAGGTGGATCCAAGAAAAAAACGTGACTCATCTGAGTTCCTGACAAGCCTGAGCTAATTATGTTTTCCACTAATGAAAACCAAATAATGCTTGAATATATAGAACAAAATTTCCTAGAAATTCAGAATATTTCATAAACACAGTGACCTACTATTAAGTTTCCAAAGGCATCTTGTTGCCAACTACGTTAACAGCACAGTTTTTCTGCCACAATAATACAGGAGGATTCAAATACACTCTACCACACAACGGATCCCCCAATCACCACAAAGAGATCTCAAATATGTCACCAAGATAACTATTGCTCCCCCGCCCCGCCCACCCCAAAAATAATCTCATACGCTGGAAGTTAGGAAAAAAAGTTCACCTACATAGGGTCTTCAATTTGAATTAGATATAAAAGAGTAAACATCGCTAATACATATTCAGTTGGCCTCTGTTGATAGAAATCCACAGCTGTTTCTGTGTTAGTAAAAGACATTTGTAGATACTTATAAAAGCACCTAGAGTGCGATAAATAAAGTCAGTGAGTTATGCCATTTCTGCTTCCAGTAGATAAATGATGTTAGTAGATTATTAAGTTTTACTTTGCCCCTGCCCAACCCCATCAGAAGCCCATGTTTAAGAATTATAAAGGTGATGATGATGATTGTTGTTGTTATTGGTACTTGTCTCTTTTTGGCCACTGTGGAGGCTCAATGGTAAAGCACTTTGCTGACAGCTGGCAGTTTTCGTACACAGACACACTGGAGCTGCTGGGCTCTTCAGTCTGGTTTCTTGACATAAAACATACAGACTCGAACTCATTCGGAATTAATAGCAGTGTGTTAGCCTAAAGGAAGTGACTTGGGGATGTCTGCACTGAGATTCTCGGGCGCACAACTTAGGTGGGTTAAGGCAAGTATGTACGGGACAGCCTTTAGGGCAAACAACCTGCCATTTCAGACTTTGGTTACCAGGTCATCATGGCACGTTTTGTTTGTTGGTGTTTGCAATTCTGTTGCCTACGGAGCTGTGGTGCTATCAAGATGTCTGGAGTGCAGAAGACAGGACTCTCAAGCTACTTTGCCCTGGATGACTTGACAGCTCCCAGAGGCCCACGGGCTGAGCGGCAGAGGAGTTAGTGACGGCCAGCAGAGGGCACCAACACGTCTCCTTTTGAACTTCCCAAAGGCCTGGGAGAAAGAAGCCTGCTTTCAGGAAATCCGAGCTGGGCGTGTCCTGCATATTTGTCTGTTTCAGTTAGGAAGAGGAGGCCAAGTGGAACTGGTGTGTGTCTCAGTGTGTGTGTGTGTGTGTGTGTGTGTGTGTGTGTGTGTGCGCGCGCGCACGCGTGCCCTGGTGTATGTGAGGCTTGGTGTTTGGTATGTGAGGCTTGGTGTTTGTTTTGTCAAAATGTATGTATATTTAAACTCAGTTGCTTCTTGCTCTTCATAAAATGCAGGAGGCCACTGCGAAACAAGTTTTTTTTTGTAAGGTCCAGGAGCTGACATTATGAAGCCATATGTATTATTTCGACCTAAGAGAGAAAGAGAGAAAAAAGACGTTTTTTAATCAAGAGTGAAAGCTCAGCACCTTTTCTCGACTCTCTAAGCACAAGAGCAAGTAAAAAAAAAAAAAAAAAACCCAAGCCCAATTGTGCCTTAAATAGACACTTTTCCTCTCCTTTCCTTTTTTCTCAGTGCAATCTCCTGGATGGAGAGGCTGCTTATGGTAATTTAAAATCCACTTCTGGGGACAAACACAATGACTATGTATTGCTGTACAATTAGGCTGCCAGAAAGAATGCGATGTTTTCAAATGTGTCTAATAAGCCAGGGGACTTTCTCACAGTTTACACTGCAGGGAGCCCACACCCATCTCTGCTTGTAATGGCACTTAGGTCAGTGGTGGCCAGGCAGCCACTTGTTAGAAAATTAACTTGTGGACATGGGAATGTTTCGGTGAAGAAACTTCATAGCTATTGCTGGTTCCAAAGAGGTTTACCAAACTATAAAAACAAAATAATGATAACCTTTCCTTTTTAGGTGGATTATAGATATGTAATCTGAAGATTTATAGGCCAAGAACATTTACTAAAGATACCAAATAAAATAAAAAGAGGACTGCCTATTCCTGGGCTACAGGGAGGGGTACACGGCTGTGATGGAAGGCAGGTGGGCAGTGTTTTCAAAGCTCTGCCTCTGAAACAGAAGATTTGCCGGGGATCATGGGAGCCTCACAGCTAAAATGGCACATTGCTTTTAAGCATTTCCTTTCCTAAGGAACACCTCTTACTTCCGTTGCTATATAAGATTGTTAGGGTGCTTGACGGGCCCATGATGTTAAATCACTCTTACTTTACGAGACTTATTTATGGCCGGCTGACAGGAGAAGGTACCCCGGAGGATAAAGGTATAGGAGATGCTCGGGTCTGTACTGCTCAGCAGGGGGTGAGGCTTATGTGTGAATCGGTTTCGCTTTGTCCTAGGATTTGAGTAGACAGTGGCTCTCCGGGGATTGATTTTTGAGGTCCACAAAGCTGAAAAAGCTCTTCTTCATTCAACACTGCCTAATGTGAAATTAAAAGGGGATCAAAGATACACAGAAAGAGGGGAGGGGTGCAGGCATGAATGCACGGATGGAAGCATGGCAGCTAAGTTAGTGTGAAGCAGGAGAAATAGGTAAATTAAGAATCAGGGAATGTAACGCCAGAGCAGACTCATGGTCTGTCTACGAATTTGGAAAGAGCACCGAACTAAGAGGCCGGAAAGCTGGTTGCGAATTGAGCTGCACACCCGACAAGTTGTGTGACCTTGTTTTCCTTCCACTTGACTCAGTTTCCTCACCTATAAAATAAAATCGTAGTATTTGAGGCCACTCAAATACTACGTGATGAGAGGAAGTTCTGTGGAAGGGATAGTAGTCATATTTTGTTATATGTTGTTACATATTTTAAATATGTCTAACTTCCTAAATTTGAATGCCATTAAACATTTAACTTATTTCATGAGCAGTGAAACTTGAAAGCTCTTATATAATTTTTACTATTCCCTGGAAGTAAAGAAGAAAACATTACTTTTATTATTTTTGGTTTAGTATTTAAAGTATTCTATTTAATAAAATCACAAGAAGTTTTGTCTTCAAGGAATTTAATGCTGGATAAAAAATTTGCAGAGTCCCCTCATTAAAGACATTAGAATTATAAATGCTTGATTTGAAATAATATACTTGATTATGTATAATTAACATTCTTATGTTATTATTATAGCTGATCCTTACATAAGTGGTTATATCTAATTTATTGTAGCTTGATCACATTTATTGATCATTCCTATTGACCAACACAATGAAATGCTGTGTGATAAAAATGTTATGTGCTATTGTCAGAGCAAGCAATTGCAAGCCTTGTAGATGTCCTGGTTTACTGTTGAGCACAAACATATTGTTACATGTTACTTGGCCTGGTGTTATATGAGATATAGTGTTTACAGAGGAAATCCTTTGGGAATGAAATACAGTGTATATTGATTTGTGACTTGATAAAGTCTTTCCATGAGTAATACTGGTTAGCATAAGCATTATTCCTACTAATAATCCTATCTAATAAAAGAGTAATATGCAAATTGACCATCACTCCAACACACAAGATGGCCGCCCCCATGTGGTCAAAGATGGCCAGCAGGAGAGAGCAGTTGGGAGGGACCAGGCCTGAAAGGGAGGGCAGTTAGGGGCAACCAGGCCTCCAGGGGAGGGCAGGTGGGGGGGACCAGGCCGGCAGGGGAGGGCAGTTAGGGGTGACCGAGCTGGCAAGGGAGGGAAGTTAGGGGTGACCAGCCCTGCAGCGGAGGGCAGTTGGGGGCGACCAGGCCTGCAGGGGAGGGCAGTTGGGGGCAATTGGGCCAGCAGGGGAGCAGTTAGGCATCGATCAGGCTGGCAGGGGAGTGGTTAGGGGGTGATCAGGC